CTGCCCATTTGTTCTTTGTATACGACTGTGAATTGTGGCAGCTTGGACTGGTGCACTTGTGTTTGAGGTTCTACATTGATTCTGTCTGTTTGCTGTTGTTTGTGCATATTTAGTTATGGAGCTGGAATCTCATTTCCTTACTTAACACTATTGTATACTCGTCTATACACTGTTCAAATACGGAAATCTATAGGAACGGGGATAGACGTTGAATACCTATTCTTAGTCTCTACCTCCACCCACCAATTGCGTTTAGAAGCCACGGATGATGAGTTCTACCAGAAGTTGTCGGTTTTGCTGCACAAATCAAAGCGTTGTAACATATTTATCGTAGCAGGTAGCTTTAACGCTCAGTCAAGAAAGCTGATCTAGTGGGAAATGTATCTGGGAGTCGACTGCGGTTTCTTATGCTGACAAACTGACAACAGTGATCGTCTTTTGCAGTTCTGTTCTGATAACCACTTGTTTCTTACCAGCACATAAAGGAGGATGCTGTCTCGGGATAATTGGCCAGAAAGTTGTGTGAAACGCTTTTAAGAACAGTCCAGCTACCCTACAGCCAATCTCCAGTTGCCAAGCATTTAGCTTCAGCATGAATATGTATAAATGTTGATCCTCAAAGTTAAGATGTAAAGCAGCAGGACTTGACGGTTTGTCACCCGGAGTTTCTAAGAATGGAGGTAGAAAATTACGGAGTAGAGTTACTGAGGTAGTAGTTAGTATAGGCGAATCAGACATATTACGGTCAGTTTCTCTAAGATCGTTAATCGTCCTAGTTTTTAAGAAAGGATATCGATCTTAGCGCGACAACTATGGGAGGATCAATTCGACTGACATAGCATGCAAAATCTTACGGCCCCAAACTTTCCCTACGCCTATTCGGAGCTAGATGACAACAAACTGAAAAATAGGCAGATTTAAAACCTAAAGAATCGAGCTTTGATTCGGCTTTCACTTTTCAAAAAGTTTTAGAATGGAGCCATGCTTACCGAGGCCTGATTTTTGTCATATTCTTTTACTCGGAGATGGAGTTTAACTTCATCGACTAAAAAGTGGTCTAGAAGTCTTAATTCTGAGGGAGTACCGAACTAGGATATTGTGCTTATCGAGACTGTCTACTCGAACTCATTTGTGAAAGGCGCGTACAGAGTTATCCCCTGAAGTAACGGAAACCAGTAGTGTCCGTGAATGTCCACTATCACCATTCCTGTTAAGATTTGTTTTGCTTTGCTATTAGATATAACTGTAGGTCCCTTCAACTTATCAGATTAGCTTACTCCCAAGAGAGCGAATATATCACATGGAATGCAAAGAAAACAATCTTTCAGACTGTCTTCTGAAATCCCTAAGCAGTAACGTGACTACATTTGGCATGCGTTTCATGGCTGGTGTCCAACTACTCTCAGTCCAAGGATAAGCAATGAACTGGTAGAATGCATTGAGCACTTCACTTACTTGGGAAGTTGTATTAGACCAAATGGGTTGTCAGCTGACGAAATCTCAGCTCAGAAACACAAGGCCCATCTAGCATTTGCCACATTACGCCGTTATTCGTGCTGGTGAGATATCTAACTACCTATTAATGAAGTTTACTGCGCTGTAGTTTTCTCTACCGTATTGTATGGCGGTGTGAAACGGTCTTCAAAAGTTAAAAATACGGAAAAGACACATGTTTTAACCACATTTTTCTTCATAACATTGCTCGCATGTGGTGGAATCACCATGTTGGCAATTTCGACGTTAGGTGGAGAGTACTAGGCAAAGAAAGCAGACCGGTGAATGACGTTGTTAAGCATCACCGAATGAACATGTATTGCACTTGCACAAATTTTATTTGTAGGTGAGATGCTAGCCGAAAAAGGATTGCGTTAGAAGTAGGGCAAACGTGATCAGATCGAAACTGACCACCAATCCATGAAGTCATTCACTGGTGTTCTGAGATGTGGGCTTCCATATTTCATCGCCATAAAGTACAACAGAGCGAATTGCTGGTGGGTGCATTTGGCCTTCAATGGGCAACTAGATATCATAGCAGCACAATAGTTGCTTTAGCTTGGCAGAAGCCACTCAATGCTTTATGTACGTATAAATGTTTCTCATTCGCTGACTCACTAGGGCTGCTCTCACTTCCAAAGTAAGTGAAGCGGTGAACGTACTCAATCAATTCGCTCCTTATTACAAAGGGAAATGAAAACCGAGGGAATAAGCATGTGGTAGATGCTACTTGACGTACCCAACCAACATGATACATCAATATGGATTATGATATGCTCACAGTTGTTGACTCAGTAATGTACTTTTCCGGCAGCTTCTACAGTGAGAGACACTACCATAAGACCCCTCTATCAGCGGAGTCAAACGCCACCTGATCAAGAAATCCAGCTAGTGTTGGTTGGGTTGCCTCTGTGTGTTCCTTTGTTCCAAGATCTGGTGTAGGTTGAATAACTGGTTGATACACTAACGATCAGGTCTAAAACCTACCTGGTTGTCTCTCACTTGCTGTTCCCGAGCTGCACTAAGACAGCCAATAATTATAAGACCCAGCATCTCAGTCACAATACTTGCAAGGTTGATTCACCTGTGGTTGTCTATCACAAGGGTTTTTTTTGCCGTCCTCGGATACTCGGACAATCAGTGATTTAGACCAGTCAGAGAGGATCATATCCGATGCCCATACACTAGCTAACACTTCAGTTAATTGGACTAATAATCCTCTACAATCGTTCTTGTAAACCTTTGGTATCAGCCTACTGAGACCTACTGTTTTGTCTTGTTCCGGTTCGCTTACGGTCTTCTCAACGTCACCGATACTTGGAAGGCCTATCTCTCTGTTCCATACTCCATCCTAATGGATAGTGTACGCATGCAGGCCAGTGGGAGTGTTTCATCCATCCTCTCATACTTCTACTTTCCAAATAAGTCGCATACCCATCCGTCTCCTCCATTGTCTCACTAGCCATTGACCCTCTAACCTCAGTTTCTTTGGTCAGTCTAAACAACTGTCTACCATCATCTATCCTCTCTGCCTCTTTCCATCTCTAGTATTCACCACCTACCACTACTCACGATCATTGTGTAGATTTCTCGTCGGTCGGTATTTGATTTCCTTTCACTCTTCTTTATGGTTAAAGCTTGTAGGCATGCATTTACTGACATCTACTAATTCAAACGAAGCTGCCGAGATGTACTGGCACCTCCCAGCCTCTTTCTGAGGGTCAGTTACGGTCTTCAACGTACTGGCTGACACGAGTCCAGATCTCTGGTGGGTGGGGTGAGCATCAGTTCTTTTGAGGTTGTCGATGCGCCTTGCTGACGAGCGCCAACAAGCATGAAACCTCGGTCCACGGATTCCTGTGTATCCCCTCCAGTCAAAGTGCATCATGATGCTGAGTCTCATAGCTTGCTGACCACATCCCAATCACAAAATGATTGACAGAATTCCGTCAACACCCAGGACTAGACAACAGGGAATTGGTCACTCCCCAATGACCAGTCAATCTGTTGCAATGCAGATGAAAGTTTCATAGATGTTGCAGACTAGTAACCACTGATAAATATTTCGTGTCCCTTGCTAAACCACGTTAGCCACTGGACTGTTGAACCTTCCTAAACGAACAGAATAACCAGTACACCCAGCCAACACTCGTCAGCATTCTAGATGTGTTGTATTGCATCTTGGCACTTCGTATATACCGAGTCAAGCCACATCCAGTGTGTCAGAACACAGACGACTACTCCGTCACGCATGCTTAGGTAGGATTCAGATCTGTATGCAGACCTGTCTTACAGCATTTCATCAAACAATTTTCAGAAGACACAATAACTTATTGGTCTCTTTTTCCAGCAAGAACATTTTGTTTGCACTTCAGGTCAGTCAGAGTATGTGCGACCAGGCGATGAACCCCAGAGAAGACAGGTGTAAACAAGGTCACTTCTAACATTACATCTACACCGGTATTGGACAAAAGAGTGCTATCAGTGAGCTCTTAATGGACAACACTGGTTGTCATCATTTTCCGTGATAATTCTATGTCAGTCATTGCGTAACTGCCTAAGTGCAAGTGTGAGGCTCCTAGGTACACAATGTACGTTCCTGGTCAATGGATTAAATGTCATCTTCAGATAAGGAAATATAGATGTTATCGAGCGTCAGTAAGTATTTTCGTGTTAGTGAACCCAATGAAGAGTATAGGTCTGAAAGGAGTACTGTCAGAATTCCCAGGATTTTGTTTGGTGTCCTCGGGTTCACTGTTTCACCCCAGTTCAAAATCTAATGACCACTGACACTGAACTCTTTCAAACTATGTTAGACTAGTTAGTTTTTCATGAGGTTATTTATTCCTAGAAAGTGAACTGATAACCGACAGGAACCAATTTTTGAGGATTGCTTTTGGTGAACCCTCAGTTGATATTTCAGTCACTGTGACTAGTAGTCAAGTAACGTGATTCCTGAGGACCTTTTGGTGAGACTGTTATCGTAAGCTGTTTTGCCTAGCCCATTTTTGCACCGGTTTTTTTGACGTTAACCTTTTTTTTCGTCTTATATTGATTTTAATTGTTTCCGCTGAAGTTGACTAGATTTCAAACTCCCTTCTCAGTGTCACATTTGGGCAGTGGTCAATTGGCCTGCCACTTTAAGCACGAATAAAATTCCTATGTGCTCATCATTACAGCTGCATTGATTCCTTTCCTAGTATTCTGACACACTAAACAACGTTTCATCGCGAAATTTCGAGTAAGTTCTTACCGCCACAGTGCCTAATAATCAAACGATTAAGACACTTAACGTCTCATAAAAGGTCTTAGCATTCCTTAACCTTAATAATATCTTTGTTTTCTTCACCTCAAGGTGATCCCTTACAAAGTTTTGAATACGTCTGAATTGGATCTTCATATTGAATCACAGATCTATGAAGCGCTCTCGAAAAGGTCAACAACAGAGTGATGATGGAAATGATCAAGAAATTGTAAGAAAGGTTAGTGAATAATATTTCCAATCAATGAAAAGTGAAGTTAGGAGTGTGATTTGCAAAGGAAATGCTCCTGTTGATGTTGAGTGTGCAGCTAAAGTTGATGTGGCTCATGTTTACCATGAAGGTGATGATCTTTATGATGTTATGTTAAATCAGGTAACGGAAAGTGTTGACACCTAATAGTGTGCACTCAAAATATTTATTTCAGACCAATGTACAAAGTAATAACAATAAATATTATATTATACAACTGTTGGAAGATGATAGTATGAAAAACTATTCTGTTGGTGTCGTTGGGGTCGTGTTGGGAAATGTGGTCAAAATAAACTTGAAACTTTTGGGTGTAACTTACAGGGTGCCAAGAATTGTTTTGAAAGAAAGTATGTCAAAGTGTTCAAACATTCAGATGTAGATTTTTTGATAAAACTCAAAATCAATGGAGCGATAGAGCGCATTTCATAAAACAGAATCGAAAATATGACATGGTTGAGATTGATTATGGTGTTAAGGTTGGTTGTACTGCTTTAGCTAGTGAAACTTCATACTTACCATAAAGGATCGTGTTATTGTACCAGAGAAGAAGAAAACCAAGGAAGTTAAGTCGAAGCTTTCTGTTGCTGTTCAGGTTAGTTTTTCGTCATTATTTCATTGAAACTTTTCCCTTGTGGTTTCTTTCAGTAAGCAGTTATTCTTTCTTTGAAAAGAATAATTTGTTGAGTATATTTGATGCGTGTATACACATGGTGTTTCAAGACTTTGTTTCGAATAAATATATGCTAGAATAAGTACTACTTAGGCATTTTTCAATGTAATAACTGATAAAATGGGGAGCAGGTTAGCAACTGTATGCAAGTTCGTGCAGTAAACTATGAGCCACATCTGTTTTTGGGGGGCTACCTGGATCTTGTTAGGTAGAGCAACGACCCGAGCTCCTGATCGATTGCGACTTGTACCATTGAAATACAACACCATAAGTTATCTTGAAGAAATACTCCTGAAGGCGATTATGTTGGTTTATGTAATTTTCGGAAATTTAAGTCTGGTAAATAACTTGGTATTGTTTCTAACTATATTTCTCATTTTATGTATGGAACAATTTGTAAGCTCCTATTTTTACCAGCTTCTTTTTTCTTCATAGATGTAGTTTTTTGAACACTTCATGTTACTACGTCCAGCAGGCGTATCCATCTGCTTACTTGTTCTCATTGTAATCTTTTTCCAGATACTTATGCAGTTGATATGCAATATGAACAATATGGAACAAGTTATGGCCGAATTAAAGTACGATTCGCGTCGTGCTCCTCTTGGTAAACTGAGCTCATCACAGATTCGAGCAGGCTATACAGCACTGGATAATGTTTCCAAAATAATCGGTGCTTTATCAGCATTAAGTCAATCATCTGATCCTGAGAAAGAGACTAAATCCAAAGGTCGTGTTAAGCGCGTAAAAGCAAACGCTAGTGATAAGCGTAAATTAGAAGAACAATTGCTATCAGCTTGTAGTGATTTCTATACACGAATCCCTCATGACTTTGGGTAAGTTAATGTGTTACACGATAAGGTTTAAATGACTGGATTGAGTTGACATATTCATGCGAATTCGCTCTTTTAAGGTATGAGAAAGGCTGCAGGAGAATATTAAATAAACCCGTCGTCATTTTGTTATCCATTTGACAAGTCACTCTGTCCTCACCGTAGTGCGTTTGTAAGTGATTAGGCTGATACTTTTATCACATCAAAGAAACCATTGGTTTACTAAACACCAGCTTTATGTTTTAAAATCAATGTTTTGTGGTAAAAACTACCACATATATGTCGATGGAGTTACCGACTTCATTTCAAACATTTCCCCCTTTGTATTATCTCCATTCTTTCTAGAGATGGTTCTATTATTTCTGTTTTTTACGCAGATATCATCTAATGCTTCCTTTCAATTGTTTTTATTCAGTAATCGATATGCACTACAAATGTTTCTTTGATTTACTGGATCCGGTTTCTTAATTTAAGCTGCACAGTTTAAATGTTCAGATTTTTTTGGTTTTTTGTTTCTTCACTAATCAAGTTATAAAATTCTTATTTTAATCACTTTTTGCCATCATCCCTAGTCCTACGAATTACTGCTTAACAGTTGTTCACTGTCTGCATTTTTGCTTAATCATCAGTAAAATTGTAGTGTCAGTAAAACCAACCTCAGTTGAGTTCAGTTGCATCTTCTAAGATTTATATCTTCACTACCCAGTCTGTTATGCAGTTGAACTTGGAAGTCAGTCAGTAGATATCATCGCTGGACTTGGCATTACTGTGCAACGGTCCAAGTTTTCACACTTCAAATCAAATTACAGGGCAACCTAATGAAAAATAGAGAAATAGGAAAAAATAATGTAATTAGAAGTTGTAGCAAGTTGAAAAAGAGAGAAAGAGGGTATGTAACAAAGTGCGATGTAAAAACTTGGATGAAGGTAATGTGTGGATGTATCTGCATCACTGAGGCCGAATTAGTGCCGTATCACTAAGGGTCTTCAGCGGTGTGAATTGGAAAGTATATTTAGTTGTTTCATCTTGTCAAATTCTGCTGTGGTCCGATAAATTATGAAGAGAATGGTGTAGATTTCAAGAATTTAGAGATGTGAAAAAAATCGCAGTAGTTTGCAGTCTATTTGGTATGTTATTGAGTAGATGGTTGTAAGTTTTTCATGTTTCATTTTAGCATGTTTCAAACATTTAATTCACGTGTAACAACTATCCAATTTTCTGATAAATCTTTCAGTTATCGGTTTGAGTGTTTTTGTTTCAGCAAGAATTGAAAAAAGAAATTGACAGTAATATTCATGTATCTATAATCTAAAATAATTTATAGCTTATAATGGTGATAAAGCTCAATACCTATCTACAGGTTCGTGGACTAAGACATGAGCATGTTTGTTGTCATAAGCGATGATACTACTGAGTTTCCTTAGCTTCAGCAAATCGAACCCTGATCTACTGCTCGGGTAGTTTTGTATCTAAGTCGATGGATCACGTCTACACTTTTAGCATTATAATTAATTTCATATCCTGTCAGTAACTTGGATTTTAATGGGTCAGAATCTGATATAAGCAAAGCTATCTTTCACTATAGTCATCATTCTTATGTGTTTGAAGTGAGCTACTGACGGCAGCTTGATTTCCATCAGATTGATGGACCTCATCGTCTAATTCTACTTCATCTACGATTGGGACAAGACTATTCAACTGAACAGTCAACATGTTGGAGTATAAATGCTTTCTCATTTTTTACGCATAAGTCGTGGACAACACTAAGTTACAGATGAGAAATCGCTACCGGTTAGCACTAGTAATAGCACTTGATGGATTATTTCGAGAATCTGCTGGCATGTAGGAAACGCAAGCCCTGATTTTCACGACTGACTTCTCCTTCAATTTATTAAAATGAATCCCACTTGTGAGGATATCGAGTTATCAAAGTATCAGGGAGCTGTGGTAGAATATTCATGGCACTGAGTAGTAGTGGGATGGAGTCGATCAACATGTTATTGAAAGTGCACATGAAGAGAAGTAAAGAGATACTTCTGGAATAAAAATACGTTCATGTTTTTATTTGTAGAAAATTATTCACTTACATTCAAAATAGTCCTATCAGTTATGATAGGACATTGCTAAACACTTGAACAAAGCAAACAAATATTTTCCTATTCTTCCCTAGTATGTATATATTACCACCTTTCGGTTAATGCTATCGCTCTTAATAAATATCCTTGCTCCTAAAAACCATTTAGTAGAAAATTAGCGTATCAAGAAAAGTTTTGTCGTACAAACCGTTTTCTCACTCTTTTTATTACTGTATACATTGGATTTAAATATGATGGAGAATATTTGTAGCTCAGGAGGATGATTTGGGTGGTACTGTGTTCTCCGACTTGAATGTTTTGTGCTGGTTTCTATCGAAAATGACAATGAAAGCTTCACGGTTAAACCAATCCAGTTCAGAGAACACAGCACTACCAAAGCAATTGATTTCCGTTATCTTTGCTATTTTCTTGCAATCAACCAATTTGAGAATGATGGCAGGTTTAGACCAGTGATGTTGACGATACTGATCATAATATGTCGGTAACCAGTCCTGGTTAGAAATTTCGCGAATTAGTAGACCGTTAGTAGCATATGAACCATAGGTAATAAGGTTTTCAATTCATCCTGAGGAAAGCTAACCAATGTATATATATATATATATATATATATATATATATATATATATATATATATATATATATATATATATATATATATATATATCACCGTATTACTTTACACGACGACAAGATATGACGACAAATCAGTGGCCAATTTGTCAGTTTTCCTTATAACTCACTTCAGGTATCGGAAATGTTCATCGCTTGACCGATCGTTTCATCTCGTGAGTACGTATCAGTTAGCTAAATTTCATTACATAATGTCGTATCAGCTCTCAGTAAACAAATCAACCATCACTTTCATATTAGTACAGTTTCCCAAACGTTTAATTTATGTAGTTGTCGGTGACAACTTCATTTATTTCTCAATTGAAATAATTTTCTATCGTTTCAATTCCTGTTCGGTGTCCACAACACATGTGGAAAAAGTCTTGTCTTTGCATACAACCAAATCTTCTGCCAATACATGTGTTGTAATCAGTTGAGTGAGAAAAAAACGTTTGTTTTCTTCTCACAGTAGTACATTCTCTTTTCCTTTTTTCAAAATGTATAAAAGTAGTATGCCGTGAGATGTTTTGTAAACGAGAACGAAAGTTACAATGTATGCAGGTTATTAACTGTACTTACCGCTGTTTCTTCAATAGACTTAAATTTACTACAGGTTCACTCATGATGAAGAGCATTCCTGTCACGTTCAAATAAGTGCTTAGCTAACTCCCCTTGAAATGCGTAATTGGCGTTCTCACTGCCTCCTTTTGCATCGGCAAACACACACGACCTAATACAACCTCGTGATCGCAGTTCAAACAGGTATGCCAGAGATCTCCACCGATCGTCTCTAACGATGGCTTGTAGCAATATGATCTATCGGTGTCCACCTTTGCTTTGTATCGGTGGACGCCATATCAGACAGTAGTTCATTATGCGTAAAGTTAGTGCTAGCCAGAAACAAAACTGCAACAGATGATCTCCGTTGTCAGTCTGTTGGGATGGGATTCCGTAAATACCCTCAAAATGCCTTTCCGATTGATTCAACCTCCCTACTTGAGCATTAGAGCCACCTACCAATATGCCTACATAAGAAAGTTTTGCTTTCTGTAGCAAAGTCGTTGGGGAGGATCGGTGGAGAACTTTCACCCATTCTGGAGTACTAGTTTGCATCCGACCACCCTGTAGTACGCGGCCGTGTATATTTGTGCCTAAATGGTCGCAGGAAGCAATGAGGCCTATCTGTGCCCGATTGCTAAATGAAGACGCTAAGTACCAGTTTAGAGAGGAGTTATCTAAGCTCTTATTTGAAGGTGACACCAACGCTCTTTATACTGAGGAAACCTGATGGGATGTTAAGTCTGCTGTAGAAACACCGGTAAAGACAGTTGGTAACCTACACCTGGAAGTTAGCAAACGTCATTGGTTTTCTGCAACGCCATCCGAACTGATTGATTCGAGAAGACTAATTCCAGCTAGCTGTGAACACGACGAAGAGCGAAAGCAACTGAAACGTAAGTTATCTAAGAGCCTTCGCATCGACTTCAAGCAGAGATACGTGGCGAAAGCGACAGAGAGATGGAGAATGCAGCAGCACTAGTTAAAATTCGGCAGTTATTTAGTTTATTAAGGATACTGGCAAGAAGAAGACGGTGGTTATTGAAATCATCAGAGATAAGGATGGGATACTCACAGAACAGGCGGCTAGAATGTTGGACAGGACACTTTGAAGCTGAGTCCAACTGGCCCACAGCCATGCTTCAGTTGCCCAATATCCAGCCTGCCTGATCCTGAATGCGACACACAACGCTCCTCCAACTCTCCTTGAAGTTCACAAGGCTGTATGGAACGTGAAACGATGGAAAGTAGCAGAAACTGACGGTTTGCCACCCGAGAATTTTATGGATGGTGGTAGGGATTTACAGGTTATGATAACGGAGGTACTGGATAGTGTATGGGAATCAGAGGTAGTTCTGTCAGACTGGTCTACTTCTCAGATCAGCTCTCTGTATGAGAAGGAATAGAAGTGTTCCTGTGACAACCAACCATAGGGGAACTAGTTTGGATTAGTGTTGTATCCAAGATCGTTGGGTCGGTAGTTATCTGACGCCTAGCTGGATCACGAGGACACCAAACTCGAGGAAACCAGTCAGGTTTGAGACAGAGCTGGGTGAGGATGCTTCTGTCATATTTTTACCCTCCGACAGGTTGTGGAACACAGGCATACCTATCGACCAGTGGTCAACATTGACCTGAATGCGGCATTTGACTCTGTCGACCGTGAGTTGTTGTGGCAGTGTTTGACTGTGTAGGGGAGTACAGAGGAAGTACACAACGCTAATCGAAGCTCTCTACTCGAACTTGTGCAGCCA